TGGGAGTTGAAGTCCACCCATCTTAAAGTGGTCAAGGTTGAAAAACACTGCTTTAGAAGTTTAGATGGCCGTGTCTATGGGAGGATCAAAACAGCCAAGATGGCACCTTGAATATTTTATAAAAGGGGAGGGGGTTCAGTCATGCAGTTGCGGCCACCGTCTTCATTGTTTCGGTACACCCTCCCTGCAGACCTGCTGGCTGGGGAATTTTGGGAGTTGAAGTCCACCCATCTTAAAGTGGCCAACTTTGAAAAACACTGGGTTAAAACAACCTCTAAGCAGAGTGTTGCAAATGCCAAATGGTGCATTTCAGCTTCCCGTGTGTCGAAATCGAGACCCTTTGCAAACGCTGGATTGTTTAAGGGGAATATGAGCTCCCCCAGGTCCTGGGCAGTTAAGGGAAGATAGAAGTGAGGGCTAGAATGTGTACGTGCCCATTGCTCAGGATTTTGCGACGTACGGGCTTGGGTGTGCGTGCTGGAGGATAGAAGCTTTCTGGTAAAAATAACATTTTGGAAACCTCCTCTTTCTCTCTGCTTTTTGCCCTTTGTTAGATTGAACACGTCAAACAGGGGGTGGACCAGACCCTGCAGAATGGCCAGGAGAAGCTCCATCAGATGTGGGTGGTGTGGACCCAGAAGCATCCTGGGGACCACAAGCAGTTGGACTCCTCAGTGCAGCCAGAGGTAGCTTTCTGATTCTCACTTCTTTGGGGCAAGATTCAGGACAGACAGACAGACAGACAGATAAATAAATAGGGGTTTTTTTGCTGCAAACATATTGAAGATGCTAGCACCTTGAAGATGCTCCCATATCTTAACATTTTACTGATCATCAGCATCTTGGAAGATATTATTATTTGCGTACGTGTTTGGTTTTCTTCTATTTTTACTGTATTTTTATATTGTTTTTATTGTATTTTAATTAATATTTATTGTTGTTTTATTTATTTTTACTGTATTTTTATATTGTTTTTATTGTATTTTAATTAATATTTATTGTTGTTTTATTTATTTTTACTGTATTTTTATATTGTTTTTATTGTATTTTAATTAATATTTATTGTTGTTTTATTTATTTTTACTGTATTTTTATATTGTTTTTATTGTATTTTAATTAATATTTATTGTTGTTTTATTTATTTTTACTGTATTTTTATATTGTTTTTATTGTATTTTAATTAATATTTATTGTTGTTTTATTGCGAACCGCCCAGAGACACTTCTCGTGAGATGGGCGGTATCTAAACTTGAAATATAAATACATTAATTAATTAAAAAATGTTTCTGCTCTGAGTTCACACCCTGCACTAAACCATAGCTTCCTGCAACCACAGTCCACCACAGTGGTTGGGACTGCCCAGCATCCTAAGCCACAGAGCAGCAGGCTGCATTTCGGCTGGGCCCAGCTGTCAAATTGCTTGGGAAGGTCAATATTCTAGTCCCTGGTGACGATAGGAACAGCGAGAGGCGGAAGCTGTCCTGGGTCCGATGAATCCAGGAGAACGGAGCCCTGCATGTGATTTTTCTGGTCGTGTTTTATAGGTCGAGTCCCGGACGCTGTCCATGTTTCGTGGACTGATCCAACAGGTGCAGCTTTCCTACTTAACCTTGGTGTCCCACCTGCAAGGCCTCCCTACCAGCATCCAAGACAAAGCCAAGCTAGTCTGGCAAACCGTGGAAAGTCTCCATTCGTCCTTCTCGACAGCCCATTCCTTCCAGGAGGTGCCCACCGCAGTCTTGGCTCAGAGCTGCAGCCGGATCAACAAGGCCCGGGGCTCGGTGGACGAGATAGTGGACTACGTGGTACAAAACGTTCCTCTCCCGTGGGTGGTGGGGCCTTTTGCTCCCAACTTGGTGGAAGTCCCTTACGCATGCAGCATCAATTGCATGGAGGAATGGGAAGGCCGCCGACGCCAGTTCATGGCAGAGCCCAGGAAGGAAGGAAGGAAGCAGAAGGAAGATCCTTAGAGCATTGAAGGACACGAGGTTCAAGAACGGCTCCCACGAACTCTTAGAGTTGTCTTGCAAAAGGCTGGAGAGATGAAAGACCAGGGTTCGAGCAGAGCCACAGCACCCAGACAACACCACGAACACAGATTTCAGATTAATTGCCTTATCTGCTCTCCATTGTGCCTTTCAGAACTGTGTTTTTCAGCCTTGACTGCTTTAAGACGGGTAGATGGCGGTGTCTATGGGAGGATCACAATAGCCAAGATGGTGCCTTG